GCATGCATGGCCGTCACTTAGCCTGCTTGTGGCCCTCAGAATTAAGGACATAAATACGCCAGTCCCCCTGTGTGTGGTAAAATGTTTTTTCATGTCTAGACATACCTCCTCATTGTGAATGTAAGCTCTGTAGTATGAAGATATTTGCACCACAGCAAAGGGAGAATTCTTTTAAAAAAGAAAGATGCTGGATGTTGTAAAGTCACCTTTTGCTGCCATGGTGCTTCGTTGGTTTACAGCTAGTGTTTTTTGTTTTCTTTTCCTCATGCTTGGGTTTGCTCTAGGGACGCTGCTTCAGGCTGTGAGTCGGTGGCACTTGGTTCCAGCTTTGAGTAGAGCCCAGGTTGGTTCGAGGTGTCTCACTCTGGGACAGCAGCTTCACAGCAATAACAGGAGCACAAGAGCGAAAGTGCAAACACTAGATGCCTGTTGAAACCTTGGCTCAGAATTGGCAGACTGTCACATCTACTCAATATTCTGTTGGTCAAATCAAGTCCCATGGCCAAGTTCAAATAGCAGTGAGGTGGGAAAAAATATTCCACCCACTCTAGTGCACTGCTGCATGGTCACTTGGAGGAGGGAAGGAGTGAAGAATTGAGAGTAGTTGTCCAGGCTACCATAGAGCGGCTCGTAGATCATGCCCAGAGAGCAGAGTCTCTGACACATCGAGTTGCAACTCCATGCAAAGTGGCTGCAGGAAGCACAAGAAGCTCTGAGGCATCCTGGTTGGTAGAAGCACTGGGTATAAGACACATGTATATATGTTTTCACTGTCCTCATATCCTATTTGGAACATCATGGTTTTTGTCAGTTAATATGGGAGGGTGGAAGAGGGCTGAGCACTTTTCTACCTGGGACATGAACTGAAGGCCCAGCAATTCTGTCCATCTAAACTACCAAATCCACTGGCAGTCTTCTGTCCTTTGGAGTGGGTTCCTCTGAGCATTCACTTAAAGTTTTAAAGATATTTTAATGCTACCATCTGAAATGAGGTCCCTGGGTGGCACAAATAGTTTGTGCTCAGCTACTAACTGAAAGATTGGCAGTTCATATTCACCCAGCCACACTGTGGAAGAAAGGCCTGGTGATCTACTTCCATAAGATTAACGCCTTTGCATCTAGTCAACTCTGACTCATAGCGACCGTATAGGACAAAGTATGACTGCCCCATAGGGTTTCCAGGGCTGTAATCTTTACAAAGACTACAGCCTTCAGTATGGATTATACCTCAACATAAAGAATACAAAAATCCTCACAACTGGACCAATAAGCAGCATCATGATAAATGGAGAAAATATTGACGTTGTCAAGGATTTCATTTTACTTGGATCAACATTCATGGAAGCAGCAGTCAAGAAATCAAACGATGTATTGCATTGGGCAAATCAGTTGCAAAAGACTCCTCTAAAGTGTTAAAAAGCAAAGACGTCATTTTGAGGACTAAGGTGCACCTGACTTACACCATGATATTTTCAATCGCCTCATATGCTTGTGAAAGCTGGACAATAAATAAGGAAGACCGAAGAAGAATTGATGCCTTTGAATTATGGCGTTGGCGAAGAATATTGAATATACCATGCACTGCCAGAAAAACAAACAAGTCTGCCTTGGAAAAAGTACAGCCAGGATGCTCCTTAGAAGCAAGGATGGTGAGACTCTGTCTCACGTACTTTGGACATGTTATCAGGAGGAACCAGTCCCTGGAGAAGGACATCATGCATGGTAAAGTAGAGGGTCAGCAAAAAAGAGGAAGACCCCTGGCGAGATGGATTGACACAATGGCTGCAACAATGGGCTCAAACAATTGTGAGGATGGCGTAGGACCGGGCAGTGTTTAGTTCTGTCGTACGTGGGGTCGCTATGAGTCGGAAGCGACTCGATGGCACCTAACAACGGCAGTGTTTACAGAAGCAGACTGCCACATCTTTCTCCCACGGAGCGGCTGGTGGATTCTAACCACAGACTTTTCAGTTAACAGCCGAGTGCCACCAGGGATCCTTCCGTAAGATTACAGCTATTGGAAACCCTGTGGAACACAGTTCTACTCTGAAGCACATGGTGTCGACATGAGTTGGAATCTTGACTTGGCAGCAACGGATCTGAAGTGTTCGGCCAAGAAGACATCAAGAATTTGAGACAATTGTTAGCAATTCTAAGGAGCCCTGGTGATGAGGTGGTTAAGTTCTCAGCTGCTAGTCGAAAGTCGGCGGTTCAAACCCACCAGCTGCTCTGAAGAGAAAGATGTGGCAGTTGGCTTCCATGAAGATTACAGCCTTGGAAACCCTATGGGGCAGTTCTACCCTGTCCTATAGAGTCGCTATGAGTCGGATTCAACTTGACGGCAATGGGTTTTGGTTTTGGGTTAGCAATTCTTAGTGCCAACGAGGAGAAGGATGTTTGTGGCTCATCCTCAAATAATCAGAAGGGTGGTTCATATCAGGAATCAGTGCCAGTAAACTGCTGTGTATCCCAGCAGTTGCACTTACAAGACTCAGGAGATGCAAAGGGGGTTTTGGTCCAACGGTGAGGACATTTACCATCTTACAGACTGAGAGCCCATTGTGGTGAATATTGATTTCTGCATACAATATCTCCTTTAAAAAGCCACAAATAAAATGCCCTATGGATATTTTGGGAGTCTGTGGGTGGCACAAACGGTTCAGTGCTTGATTACTAGCCAAAAGGTTAGCAGTTCCAACCCACCCAGAGGTGCCTCAGAAGACAGTCCTGGAGATCTGCTTCTGAAAAGTCACAGCCTTGAAAACCCTATGGAGCAGTTTTATTCTGCACACATGGGGTTGCTGTGAGTCAGCATGGACTCCGAGGCAATTAACAACAACATTTTAAGACACATTCCTAATCTGCTTTCCTTTAACTGAGAGAACTACATTGCCAGGAGAAACAATGTGATGTATTCTTTTGGCAAAACATGTGAAAGGAAGAAAGAAAACAAGTACTTATTGGATGGCTAGGTATTTTCTCATCCATTCCCATGTGGCAAAGGAGAAAAATAATTGTCAGAATCTGAAAGCTGTCTCAAGAGGAATGCATGGGAGGAGTTGTGGAGTTGACAGAAAATATTGGTACACATAAGCCTCCCCAAGGCAGTTATTCCAGCTTCGAGTTCTCCATCCTTGTCATGCATCTGCCTTGCTGTCCCCTTGTTCCTGTCAGCTCAGGCTGAAGACCTATGTGTACCAATATTTTCTGTCAACTCCACAACTCCTCCCATGCATTCCTCTTGAGACAGCTTTCAGATTCTGACAATTATTTTTCTCCTTGTGATTGTGGGGATGATTCCCAGCTCTCTCCCGACTTGGCCCTCCCTCACGGGTTGACTTCAGAGCTTCCCTCCATCCCAGATTCAGGCTTTCCCACCCACTGGTCTTCTCAGTCCAGCAGAGGGACCTCACTCCCATCCTGCCCCATCAAAACTGAGGGCACTTCAGATGCTCAATCATTATAATCGACTGGTGGTGTCAATTACCACCTCCTGGTGTCAATTACATCCTGACCCTTCTTAATGTAATGAACACTGAGAAAACGGATTTTTCTTTTCTTAGACTCATTGCCATGAAAGTCCTCAAATGATTGGAGTTTTAACCACCTGAAGAAGTGGAGAAAAACTTCCTTGAGAAGACCCACTGAGCTCGGTCACAATGGATGGGTAGGAGTTTACTGGGCTCCAAAGCTAGGGTACAGAATTTTAGGCAGAAGGAACAGCGCTTACAAAGTCCACACTAGAGTCAAAGGAGAAAGGATAACATTTCTGTCATAGTGAAAGAATTTTTTTTCATCTCTGTACATGTGACAATGGCATTTGACCTGCAACGTGACGAATACCTGGGGAAGTGAGGGCTCTTCAGCTGGCAATGACCAATTCTTCAGGTCAACAAAAATCTGTTGACTGGGCACCCTCTACATCCGGGCATTGTACTGGGTTATCAAAGTGCTGGGAATACAAAGATTAATACAACAAAGTCCTTTCCTCCTGAAGCTCATCATTTAGTAGGAAGAGACACATGCGCTGGCAAATATCCAACAACCTCATTACCTGTGATGCAAACAGTTAACACACTTGGCTGGTAGCCAAAAGATTTGGAAGTTCAAGTCCACTCAGGCACCTTGGAAGAAAGGCAGTCTACTTTTAAAAAATCAGTCACTGAAAACCCAGTGGAGCACAGTTCTACTCTGACACATATGGGGTCACCATGAGTCTGACTTAACTCGATGGCAACTGTTTTTTTTTTTTCATTACCCCAGGCCCCTATATACAATGTACTTATCATGGGGCCCAGCATTTCAAATAATGGGCTTGAGACTGACCAACAAAGAGGTTGACGAGCTGGGCAGGAATAGACATGAGTGCTAAGTGGGAATAGTTTGAATGAGAACTAATTTTACAAGTGGTCAGTCTATGAATATTTTATTCCTAATACAACCCTGCCACTTTCAGGGACCTATGTAGCGAATATTAGGATCATGGAGCTTCCTTGTATTTCTGTATCACAGCTACTGACAAAAATGCAGCCACAAAGCTCCCAGTTAAGAGGTTGATGGGTGGAAGTGAAAGCTACTTTGTATTTGGTTCACTGGGGGAGGGGGTTGGTGAAGATGAATCATGCAGCTCAGTGGTTCTCAATGTCAGATCCCTTGGATGTCGTTATTGGGTGTTGGTGGAGTAGAGTCGATTTCCACTCATACTGACACCAAATGACAGAGAAGAACTGCCCATAGGGTTTCCTAGGCTGTAGTCTTTATGGAAACAGATTGCAGATCTTTCTCCCATGATGCCTCTGGGTGTGTTGGAGCTGCTGGGTGTGTTCGAACTGCCAACCTTTCGGTTAGGAGCTGAACACTTAACCATTTGTGCCATGAGGGCACCTTTAATCCATTGGATGTGTTTTTTAAATCCTCTACTCCTCCCACCCCCCCGCCCGATTTTGGCTCCATTGGAAGCTAGCCCACAGCTCTGACCTGCCCTTCTCTTCCTCCCCCAGGTATGGAGAGTGCAATCACACTGTGGCAGTTCCTGTTGCAGTTGCTGCTGGACCAGAAACATGAGCACTTGATCTGCTGGACCTCGAATGATGGTGAATTCAAGCTCCTCAAAGCAGAAGAAGTGGCCAAACTGTGGGGACTCCGAAAAAACAAAACAAATATGAACTATGATAAACTGAGCAGAGCCCTGCGATACTATTATGACAAGGTAAACCCTTGACCTGGCAGGGGAACTGTCTTGGGTGGGGGGCTGAATGCCACCTTCACATTTCGTTTATGAAAGTAAATACACTGTGCTGTGAATCAAATTAGAAAAATGAAACAGAGGTGATTTTTGCAGTAATTCTTTTGAGGGAAACTATCCTAGAGGGATTTTTTTTTTTTTTTTCTGGAAGCCCTTTAGGGGTTATTATGGGTCAAACTTTGTTCCCTCTGCATTTCCGTCTGTAGTTGTCGAAGAACTTTACTAACAATAGAAATTAGATATAATGAGGTTCGGGGCCTTCCCTGATGTTTGGTTGCTTGAGTAACAGAATGAATGTTAAAATCTAGAAAGTCTGTTTACAGCGTCTGGTTCGCGGTTCACTCAAGCGGGCTTTTCCTGGGGGATGGCAGTTAGGGTTGCTATGAGTCGGAATCAACTCCAAGGCAATGGGTTTGGTTTGGTTTGGGTTATGTATTTATTTGGTAGCTTGGGGAAGTTAATTTAACAATTGAGTGCCTCCATGTCCTCATTTATAGAACGGGAATAGTAATAGTACGAACCTCAGGATTGTAAGTGTTAAATCCTTAGAATAATGCTTCATAAGTGCGACTTGTTCGAAACTTCATGGAGAAACTCCCTAATTAGAAGAAATGCCATTTTCATTCTTAAGTCACAGCGATGAAGCAGATGGTTTGTATAAACCCAGGATAGTTGGGATGAGTTTGAATGCATTTCTGGAGAAGCAGTCAATGGTGCCTTCTAGGGCAAAATTTATTGCTATTTCGGGATAGCCACTTAAGGCCTATAATTGTTGAGCATTTCTGTTTGAATCTGTTGTTGCTGGATATTTAGCCTCATAGACTAGGAGCCATAATAATAGTAAGCTTTTGTTCTGGTTGGAGTGTTCACATTGAAAGGAGAATTAAAAACTGATTTAAATATTAGTTCGCGATCCGTATTTAGTCCCTTCCGTCTGCCAGCTTCTTTGGAATTCAAGACATGAGGATTACACATTTGAGGAAGTGGAGACATCATTAATTATAAACTGTTCCTTTATATGATCCTAATTGCGTATGATTATGTCACTGAAATGCTAAAGGTGCTTTCCTTTAATGTAGCAATTAATCCTGACTTAATGCAGAGTTCCACTAGGATGTAAAAGGGCTTCTTGCAAATTGAACTGTCTGAAAGCCTCGCAGATGGTTTATTGTTTTGCATATTTTCCCCAGGTTCTAAGTTACACAATGGGGATTGGGACCTCGGAAGGAAAACCGTTATCTTGGCTGCTGGCAGGGTGCCTAACAACAAGGCTTTGAGACTGAAAAAAAAAAAAAAAAATTTCATTGTTTTAAATCAAGGTGTCAAAGAAGTTCCATTTCTGTGTCTATGACTAGATGCACATCTTCGTGTGTCCTGGGCACGGGGTTAATGAGCGTGTCCTTAAAGTACGGATGGAAATTATGGGCTGGAAATGACTCCTCCAAAGATTGGCAAAGCCAATGCTGTGTAGACTACACCTGATCTCCCCTGGGCGGATTTTTAAAATCTCTAGAGAAAGCAGGTTCACAGCCTTTAGTTAACACGTAAGTTTTGCAAGCTTTCTGTGTCCAAGACTCTGTGCTGAGTATTTCCTACCCTTTATCCCCTTCAAATTTGACAACAACCCCATGAGACAGCTACTGCTATCATCAGCCTCGTTCAGCAGGTGAAGACTCAGAGGCTTTGATTAAGAAAACTGCCCAAGCTCTTGCAGCCAGTAAATGATAGAGCCAGGGTTTGACCCCAGCTCACGTTCCTAGCCAGAAGGCCACCCACGCTCCCTTCTGGGCTACCTACTGTCTTTGCCTTTGAACATTTGAGATCCAGGTAGGCAATCAGGCAAAGATCATTACTGCCCAAGAAATTATGGCTTATTATCAAGAAGTAGCACAAATGGTTCTCACTCAACTGGTAACCTAAAGGTTGGCAGTTCAAACCCACCCAGCAGCACCATGGAAGAAAGACCTGGTGATCTGATACCATAAAGATTAGAGCAAAGAGAACTCTGTGTAGCAGTTCTTCTCTGTAACAATGGGGTTGCCATGAATCAGAACTGACTCGATGACAATGCTTTTTTTGTTTGTTTTGTTTTGTTTTTTTATCATCAAGAACTTTAGTACTGAAAAATCTCAGTGAATGCTGCACATTAGGTTGAGCCCAAGGTCAGAGGTCCAAGTGGCCAGCGTGGCCTGCATGTCATAGTTGCCTATTTTCTTGCCTCCCTGGGCTGAGCGTGGAGTCTGGTCACAGGACCTTCGAGCAGCGGGCTGAAGCTAATACTGAGGTTAACTTCCGCCGCCTGCCCTGGCAGTGCAGCCTCTTGTCTCCCAGAGTATCACGAAGAGCTGGCCACCAGGAGAGGATGCTCCAGCTTCCTTCTTCAACACGTACACACGTGCACTCATGCACGCACATCCAGCAGTTTAACTCTTTCTTATGAAATGTTTTCAAATGGTGTGTAAGATGGATCATTGAGGAAAACCAAAAAAACAAACAAACCCATTGCCATTGGGTTGATTCTGACTAATGGCAACCCCACATATTACAGAGTGGAACTGCTCCAAAAGGTTTTCTTGGCTGTAATCTTTACAGAAGCAGATCACCAGGCCTTTCTTCCATGGTGCTGCCTGCTGGATTTGAACTGCGAACCTTTAGGTTAGCAGTGGAGTGCAAACCGTTTGTACCATCCAGGGACCTTGGATGAAACATTGTTGTTGTTAGTTGCTGTCAAGTGGGTTTCGACTCAAGGAGACCCCATGTGTGCAGAATAGAACTTTTCCGTAGGGCTTTCAAGGCTGTGACCTTTTGGAAACAGATTACCAGGCCTGTCTTCTGAGGTGCCTCTGGGTGAGTTCGAGCCGCCAACCTTTCGGCTAATAGTCTAGCACTTAACCATTTACACTACCCAGGGACTACAGACGGATCGTTACATGCCCAATATGTTTTTAAGTAAAAAAAAGAGGAGGAAGAGAGAGGAGGGAGGAGGAGGATAAGGAAGAGGAAGAAGGAGAGGGAGAAGGAGAAAAAGAAGAATGGGGGAAGGGAGGGGGAAAGAGGGAGGAGGAGGAGGTATGTCAAAAGAGGGTTACGAATATCTGTATCGTACATTTTATGATGGACACTTTCTTCTTGAAGTGTTGTCCATGTGCCTGTATGTATAATTTGAACCATGTGAAATTGCCAATATCCGACCACAGTTTTGACCCACGAAAATGGCAGTCTTATATGGTCTAGCTTCTAATCTGAGTGACAAATCGGATGAGGCTCTAGGTGAATGTGAAGCCCTGGGCCACTCAGGCACCCCTTGCAGGCCTTGCCCTGCACGCATTTCTTATGGTTACCTGGCACTCAGTCTGCCCTCCCTGCCTTTCGGAGTCCTGGTACTCTGCCCTTTCTCCTTCTTCTCATACTCTTCCTCCACCTTGTCGCCTCCTCCCTCACATTTCTCCGAGTGCCTTCTGCCTGTGGCATAAATTAGGTAATTCCAGTGGCGTCACTAAGGTTGGTGTCACCCAGTGTGGTAACTCATGGTGTCAGCACCCCCCACCAAGGACCTCCGGCCATAGCAGACCATACAGAATCCTTAGTAATGCTTTTTGTACTAATGTTACTTGTAAATCATAATTCCCATATATCACTCCTTTTCTTTTAATTACTACTTCATTCTCAAAAAATTTACTGATATAGGTTCACAGATACTAATTACCACAATATTATAGCTAAAACACCAGAAAATTTGACAAAATCAGCAACTATAAAAACACCTGCAGTCGCAGAAACAATGCATGCTTGTAGCACATGCAGACAAAACCACGTGATTCAAAGCGTCATTGTAATCGGATAATAATGGCAGCTCTGACTGGAGCATATTAGAAAGTTCAAAAAGTGAGTTAGCATAGAGTTTTAGGCTTGTAGGTATATGGATACATGTAAGCTAGGCTTATGAAAAATGTGTTTGTTGTTATAACTAACTACAGGGATGTTTTTATAAAAAATAGTAAATTTCTGCTAAAACAAAATGCACAAAAATTTTACAGACAGTCATTTGGTGTCACCCCCTCTGACAATGTCACCTGGTGTGGTCTGCACTCCCCGCACCCCACACCCCCATAGTGACGCCACTGGGTTACTCCCTAACAAGTGAACTCAGACCTGACAGCTTGTTCTTTCCTCCTGTTGTCTTTCCTGTCCTTTGCTAGCTATCATCTCTTCACTCTTGGCTGAAACGACACATGGCCTTGGTGTGTCCTAATAGGGAAATTTTCCTGCCACAATAGACAAGCATGAGGCCATCATTATTTTTATGTTATATTTTTAGCCCATTCCAGAATGTTAAAAATGGGCAGAGATAAAAAAAGTGGAAAATGTGTGCAAAACTTAGTAGAAGGCATCAGAGGAACATAACGTATGGGTTGATGGCAGCAGGTTTAGATGGACGCTTTAATCAGTATTCCTTAAAAAAAAATGCTATTTTTTTCTTTCTGATTATAATAATGTAGTTATAATTATTGTTATAATCATGATTATAATAATCTGAGCCAGAGTGTCTGGGTTTGAATCCATCTGCATGACCGTGGACAGTTTGACTAATCTCTCTGGGTCTTAGCTTCCTCTTCTATAAAGTGGTGTAACAGTGGAGCCTATAGACACTAAGCATTGTGATTATTAATTGAGCGTTGAGAACAGTGCCTGGAATGCTGTAGGCACTACAGAAGTGTTGTTGTTGTTGTTGTTGTTGTTGTTGTTAGCTTCCATTGAGTTGATTCCAACTCATGGCAGCCCCATCTGTGTCAGAGTGGAACTGTGCTCCATAGGGTTTTCAAGGCTGTGACCTTTCAGAAGCAAATCACCAGGCCTTTCTTCTGAGGCATCTCTGGGTGAATTCGAACCACCAACCTTTCGGCTGGTAGTCGAGTGCTTAACCATTTGTACCACCCAGGGACTCCATTATGTAAGTATTAGCC